TTTCTTTCCTTTTTTTTTTTTAATTTTTTTTTAAATTTGTTTTTTATTTTGGGATGATGATCAGTCTTGGTGTGGAAAAAAGAGAAGATTTAGTGCCACTGGAAAATGACAGGCGAGGCTGAAGGGAGACCAAGTCCTCTCTCAAATCCACTAACTGATGATTTAACATGAGTTAAGATTCAGCTTTATCGTTCAAAAGGAATCATGTAAGAGAGGAGGGGGCAGAAATGATGAGAGACACCCCCTCCCTCAAACCCATTGTAGTCAGCTTTTGCTAAAAGAAAGATGATTCTTTCCTGCACAGACATCTCTCAGGACTTGTCTTAGGGCATGTTTGTTCAACAGCTTAAAGCTCGTGCCAGAATGTTCCCAGCACACGTTTCAGATGTCAGTGGAGGTGAGAATTGAATCTCACAGTTGCTCAGGTTGGTAAAAATCATCCAAAATTGTAAATATTAATTAACACTCTTCTTCACCCAATGGATCCTCTGCCTGTACAGATCAGGAGGACTTTTTTCTTGGTTCCAAAGACAGTTACAAGAAGGGTTCTTTTTTACACTGTTTTGTGGTTGTACTTCGTGAATTTTTTTTAATTCTACATGATCAACGCTGTTTCCTAGTACTTAATGTTTTGCAATTTTTCCAGGTTTTTTTTGAGGTAAAAATAACTAAGCACTTCTTTTCAAATGGCGTGTGGCATTTATTTAAATTCTTTGGGTCAAAATTTTTATTATTTTTAAAATAAAAATCTGTACATTGCTACATCTAGCAATTTTGAGTAAAGTCAGGATGTATAAATTACGACTCTAGCAATTTAAAATGTTACAGTAGAATATAAAATACTAGCAGATGATCAAAACCTGTAGTTGTAAAGTATTTTCATCTTCCTACCAGTAAAAATCACCAGCTTAGATAGTGATAAAAAGAAATTTTGTCTTCAGGTTTTATGCAACACTGTCCCTTCTTCTTTCATTTTTTCCTCTTATGATAGCATAATTTAAAAAAAAATATATAAATTATATTGTAAATGAAGTTGGAATAATGGTTAACAGTCACCTATTTCAGTTATCCTGCACTGTTAAATAACCAAAAAAATTTTGGAGGAGGGTTCCAAAGCCAGGCTTTTGCTTTTGATCACAACTTTCCCAGCTATTAAGACAGATTGCTTCTTTTTGTAGCTCTGTAATATCCTGGCTGTCTCTTTGGTGCCTTTTTTTTAAAGAATAAATGCACTCCAAAAGGAATTAGTGCCAGGAGGGAGAGTGCTTCTCTTGACAGCTTCTTGTGCATCAGCTGGGGGAAAGATTCTGATCCTGATGCTAATTCAGCTCACAGGGGTTCTGTGAGCTCCCACTGAGTTTGGAGGCCAACGGGAATTTTCAGACAACCGAGTCCAAAGGAATAGATTTCTGTGTCTAAATTTGGTGAGTTGAAGGTTTTACAGGAAGACTTGCATGAGAATTATTTGGTTACAATTCCAGTTTGACTTCCAGTGATTCAGGCTGCCCTTGTTGGAGAGGTACCACATCACCTGTTGATAGGCTGCCCTTGTTGTAGAACATCCTGCACCTTATTAAATGCAAGGGGAAGGAAAGAGAGTGGTTAGGCTTTCAAATACCTCCAGTTCTTTTCTAGTTTTTTTTCCTGCTTTCTTGCGATGGGTAAGATGTGTTTATTGTAAATCTCTTTGGGAAATTAGCACATTACAGGTAGAGTAGAAAATTTTGTCTGAACGTGTAAAGAGAACAGATTTAATTACGTTTATGGCTGTTGAAATTTAACTTATTGAAACAGCCTATCATTGCTGCAAGTAATAGTGCCTGGAAATGATAGACTGTTTTCTTTCCATCAGTAACTGCTGCAACAACTGACTGGAAGGGAAAAAATGAGCTCTTTTTAATGTGGATTCAAATTCCAAAGATCTGCATTTCAAGCACGAGGATATCCATCTATTACTTCATTAAAAAAATTCTCTTTAAAGGTGCCGTTGGGGATAGTTGCTACATAGGGATATTATATGTTTTCAAAGAATCGTGTTTTAGTTGCATCCCACGATAAGAAATCACTAAATTTCTCCAAATTTTGACTTCATAGAAGTTCTGAGATTGAATCCTGTGGGTTAGAGATTTCCTGATCCGACATCTCTCCAGTCTGACAGTATTCCTTGGCGGGTCTAAAATCATGTCATTAACTCTTATTTAACTTCATTGTTCTCTAAAAGTTTCTCATTCAAATAGCATGAACAATATTATACAAATTGTCAGGAAGTTATTGATAAATAAGAGAATGTTTAAATCATGTAAAAATTGAAAAGTAGCAGTAATCCAAGCTATGACAATAGCAAATAATAACAAAAAATAGCAAACATCAGTATAATTGAATTATCAGCTAAAATCTTACTTTGTTTATTCATGCCTATAACAAAGAAGTGGATAAGAAATAACAAATTAAAAAAAAAGCCCAGACGTGCCTTTGGAGAATACTTGTTCCAGAAGCTTTACCCAGCACAGACCCAGAGTGCAAGATTTTTTTTTTTCTTTAATCGAATTCCTCTTTCAGTCTGGTTGGTGTTTGGAACTGCTATTTAAAAGACTCGTCTCCAGGGAAACCAGATCTGTGTTGGACTGAGACACTCTGACTGACAAATTAAAGTGTGGTTCTAGTCAGAAAAAGTGACTCTGGAAAAAATGACATTGTGGGTTTCCATATTTTTCTTTCTCTGGGACTTCCAGATACACAGGCTCAGCTGACGAGCCAGTCAGTGATTTTTCTGACTGCCAGTTGTTTCAGCTCAGTGTGGGAGCTGAAAGCCAAGCTGCAGTATTTCTGCCTCTCATTGCATTGCTAGCAGTGCTGGCCAAGGTGGTGCTATTACAGATTTCACAGAATATTCCGAGTTGGAAGGGACCCACAAGGATCATTGAACCCAACTCTTAAGAAAATGGCCCATCCAGGGATAAAACAAACCCACAGCCTTGTTGTAATTAGCACCGTGCTCTAACTGAGCTAATCAGGGCCACCTATGGTGTGCAAGGCAAAATCCACCTTGGTTTCCCTAGTTTTAAACAGGGAAATGCTACCTGCTTGGTTTTGGGCTCTATATAGTTTACACCAGTCTTCATCTTCCCAAATTTACACTGATCCTTGGTTAGAATAATACCTTGTTTTTACCTTCTGGGACTATAACTTGATGAAAGTTTCTAACTTAGAGCAGGTCAAGTATGTAACATCTTTCTCGACAGATATTTTAGCTCCTTACTTTAAACAGATTTTCCTTCTGGGAGAACTGTTTGTGCAGGACAGCAAATTATTTTCATAGTTTTAATTTTGTATTTCTAGGTATCTTACCTTGTTTTATAAGAAGAAGTGTTTGGGCCAATTATTTTACATTTGGACTGGAACAGCCTCAGATTTTTGATGGTCTTGTTCTTCTGCCTCGGATCAATCAGAGGTTGATTGAAAATGGCACTGAGTGCTGGACAGGTGAACTTCACCTTCGTGGTTGAAGAGTGGGCAGAGGAACTTGACCTTTGGTGCAGAGCTCTTCTGGGTATTTTTCATACTGACCTCAGCTCAATAAGTGTGCTGGGACAGAGGAGACTGAATTAACATCAAACTAGTCTTGATTTTCTGCAGAAACAAATGAAAGAGGCAGCGGGAGCTCACTCTCTGTATGGTGGGCAGATGAAGGGCAGCTTTGTGCAGCAGCTGAGTTCTCCTCCTCACGCAGAGTGAGCATGGCTGATACTCTGAATGCCTGTGCAGTGACAGTTGTCTTCTGGAAAACATAATACCAATTTAATAGAGCACTTTTTAATGCTCAAGTTGGGTGAAACTTAATTGTACTTAACCATTTCAAGCCAGGAAGCAGAGATTTTAATCAAATTCCATAGGCTTTCTTTGTTCCATTGAAACCAGTAGCATCATATTAATGATACCAATCTGGTCTCTTTTTTTTTTTTACTCATTTTGTAATCTATTAAAATAAAACCACTTTTTCTTCTATTTTTCAATAAATCATCATCAGACATTTTATATTTTAAATTTCTCTACATAAGCATACCATTATTCTAAAATGATCCTTTCTGCAGATGAGTGTTGCACTAAAATTTCCTTCGATTATTACTTTTGACATCAGTACTTTATTGAATTAGCTGTTTCCAATTTAATTATACTTGCTTTATTGTCTAGGTCACCTTTTAAACAAATTCATATCAGTATGAAATTGCTGTTATTACTGAATTGGATTGTGATGGCTCTATGCTCATGAAGAGAATTTCTCTTTTCTGCTCACACTTGGAAAAGCTGAATTAACAGTAATTTATTCAAATGGTTTAGAAATTTATTATTTCTGCTAGTAAAAGTGAATATAAATAATGTTTGCTTGTTTAGTTTTCAAAAGCATATGGGAGACTGTATTCTAATTAAGTAATTCTTAGCTTAATTACTGTTCATTCCAGAAAGTGAAAAGGTGAAGTCATATCCTTTCCTATTTTGTATTTTTATTCCAGATGTGCAATATGTGTGAGGGTTTCAGAGAATAAAGCAAAGACATTGGTCTTTATTCTGAAGGGCATAAAGTGTTGAGCACTTATCCAATAGATATTTGAGTCCCCAAGCCTTCCTACTGGACTTGGATGAAAATAATTATACAGTCAGAGTTGGTTTAGGATTAGATTTTAAGCTCAAATTTGGCACAACAAATACTTGCCATACCTAAATGAACCAAAATATAGATGGACAGGTTCAAAAATATATTAGATAGCACTTTAATAACGAAGGAAATGTTAATTGCAATAAGAGCGTGTTGGTAAATCAGATTCCTTACAAACATCTTTGCAATCCAATTATCCTTTCTAATTGAGATGTGCTTTTAAATAACATTGTATTGAGGATATTAACAACTTGTATTAACAAAACTAATGTTCTTTGTATTAAAACCTGCTATTGCTACTACTAGGTCTTCTACTAAATGTTTATTTTTTTTCTTTCCATTGTAGATGTCATACCAGCAGGGCTTTGATGTAAACAACATACAGGTTTGTATTATTATCCATTTTTAGCTTGCATGAGCTTGTTCAAATGCCATTGTTTATATCTGACTGTTTTTCTTTCAACAATTGTCATTGCAATATTCCTATAGTCAGTGTTAAAACTCTGAAGGTTCGGATTTTTCTTTCATGGCACAAACATATATGAGTTTATGTGTATATATATTTATGTGGTGATGTATGTACATGTAATATCATAGTGCAGAAGTCAAGAAAGTGCTGGCTTTCAGTTCAGCCACCTAATTTAGAAGCCAGAAGGATAAAGTTGAAAAAATCTATTCTATGAGAGATTGAAAATGAAAGATAGCCAAGCCAATGAGGAAGGGATGTCACGTTACAAGGGCACGTAGTGACAGAAGAAGGGACAGTGCCCTCTGACAGAGGGCAGATTTAGATTAAATATTACGGAAAAATTCTTCCCTGAAGAATTGCCCAGAGAAGCTGTGGCTGCCTCATCCCTGGAAGTGTCCAAGGCCAGGTTGGATGGGGCTTGGAACAACATCATCTAGTGAAAGGTGTCCCTGCCCGTGGAGGGGGGGGGGTTGGAACAAGATGATCTTTAAGGTCCCTTCCAATCCAGGCCATTCTATGATTACTGAGATGCTTCTGCATAGATTTCTCCCTCTCAAAGAGATTGTTTTAAACACTGTGTACAGCTTGAGTGGTATAAAATCTCCTCTGTCACACAAAGTGTCCCTTAGCTGTTTGCAGGTGCATGTTCAGTACATCTGCACAGTGATGACCTGTGAATAACCAAAGTGAGTGGCAGGGTCTGACTGTGACTGACCTGCAGCATTTTGAGTCCCCATCTTCTTAGGCTTTCCTTCACTGCCTACCAGATTTATTTATCTACAGGAGGAGGGTGTGAGCGAGGCCTGGCTCTGCTTTGAGAGGCTCAGTCAAATCAATATCCAGACACCTGGAGTGTTCACTCCTGTGAACCAGCATTCCCATGGATGAGTGCTCCTGCAAAAGCAAACAGAACACTTGTTCTAGGTCACTGGACATGCATCAAACGAACCTGATCCAGGCTGGGTTTTCTGGCCATGTTCATCCCCATGAGAGATGCAGAATCATCTGGTTGCGTTATACCGACCTTCAGTCAAAGGGGGAAGTGCTTGCTGTCATTTATATCTCAAGCTATGTAGAGCCTGGCAGAAAGTTTCATGTATGCCAATGTTTAATTGCCACTGCTATTAAAAAATGGTTTGGGACTGACGGGCACATTATTGCCCACTTGATTTTTGGTATTTGCTGTATATTTGCTGGGAAAACACTTGTTTCTTATGGAGCCGTTCTCCACGCTGTCAGAGAGACGAATCTGAGATAGTAGAACTGAGAGCTCAGAAGTATTTCTTGTGCTCAGCTTGAAAAAAGAGATGTTGGAAAAATGTCGAAGTGTTTTGCAGGAAACTTTGACGTTCCATAAACAACAATAAGCATGCCTTTGAAAAACATCTCTTCTGACTTTAAGACAAAGTGTGAAGGGGAGTAGAAATTTCTTCTAAGGGGAAAAAACATAAACCCAGCATTTAATTTATATTGACACAATTCATTTGACAATTCAACCTTAATAATAGACTACAGAATGCTGTTAGGTTATGTTATGCCAAATCATCTTTTAAGGAATAATGCATTTTCAGTCAGCAGCTGCTGAGGTTTGAGGGAACAAGTTAATTTTGGAAACTGTGTGTTAATGTTTATCCAAAGGGAAAGTTACACAGATCATCTGTTTTCTGGGACATCTAAAAATATTATATGTTATGAATTAGAAGAGAACTAAATTTCAAAATGTCAAAATCTCTTGTAGACCAAAAATTCTCCTTCTCTGTCAATCATCTCTGCTCAGTACATATCTTCTGACTCTTTTGCAGTCAAAGAAAAGATCCTTTATCACCATCCCAATGCTCATGTTAGCAGGCCACACATCATCATCAGCGGGCAGGAGCTGACAAGGTAAGAGACAGGAGTGATCCTGCACTTAAAAACCACAACAGTGACATCTGCAGACACTTCAGAATCTAAAAACCTTGTGCTGAGGATTAAGAAGTATAAACTTCACCTTCTGTGTAAATAGAGAACTTCTAGCTGATGTCGTTTCTGCTTGACAGCAATCTCTGTTCTTCGTGGGAACAAAGGGACTGGTCTGGCCAGAAAGGCTGAAAATGCACCTGAAAGAACACTGACCTCACAAACTGAGTGTGGGGGTTACTGTGGGAAATGGTCCTGTCAGAGCCTGGAGCAAGCTGGAGCACACAGAGTGTGAGATCCCTCCCTTTGGACAAGTTTATTTTATTTCTCTGGCTTCCCTCCGAGCATGCCAAAATGCTTTACTAAAACGTAGGCAATAAAGGGAATAGCACACAACAGACACCTTGCCAGAAAGTCTGGTAAAATAATGGGTATGGAGAATGAAAATACTGTAATAATGTGCTTTGCACAACCATACGAGGGTCAGCAATACCAACCCGACTTAACACGGTCACAAATGAATAAGCTGGTTTATATTGGATTCCCTTATGTTTGTTTGGATAAATGCTCTAATTTCACTGATGAAAATATTTAATAAAAACATGGCCCTGACTGGATGCCTAATGTTTCCAGACTTAGGAAGAGATTTAATAAATGAGGGCCTACAACTTTTATTTAGTGTCTTCAGGTGGTAAATTAACTACAAGTGGGCTTCCCTATTGTTCCCTGAAAGCAGTAGAAGCAGGGGGAGAATTAAAAGCAAAACACTGATTTACATTTCAGCAAAATGGCTAGAGAGTTCAAAGCCTACCCTTGTGTTGTAGATTAGGAAATCAGGGGAATTTTCCTTCCCCCTGCCCCACTCCAAGGTAAAGAGACAGAGTGAGGGGGGGGGGGGGGGGGAAGTGAGGTTATTATCATTACTAAAGATGTAGCTAGCCTGGGTTAATTGCCCACTTTGGAGAAAGAAAAGGGTGGGCGGGGAGGCTGAGCAGGTGGAGCCCTGGCCGGGAAGGTGAGAGGCAGTGGATGTGTGGCTGGCTCTCTGGGTGCAGACAGGCAGTTTGTTGGGGAGGGGGACTGGAGGTTTAGTTCCCTTTTGGCTGTTAATCCTGGGGAGTTCGACCTCTTGTCCTGTTGGCTTTGACCTGCCTGACTGTCCCGCCCGCCGGAGCTGCTGTGTTTCATCGGAGAGTTTTGCTTGCCCGCGGGAGAGGAGGAGGAGTTTTGGAGACACCACCTCTTGAGACTGCAGTGAGTCCTTGCCACTCGAGACAGCGGTGAGTTCCCGTGGGAGTGGGCGGCCTGCCTTCCTTTTTGTCCCCACGGAGACGAGGACGCCCCATCTCCTCGGCTTCCCCCACGCGGCCCGGGACCACCCCTCCGGTTCCCCTTTTCCCGCGGGTGACTGCCGGAGCCCACAGCGCCCCCTGCCGACCACGACCGGGTACTGCAGGTCCTACACCTTCCAGCGGCCCAACAGCGCCCCCTGCCGACCACGACCGGGTACTGCAGGTCCTGCACCTTCCAGCGGCCCAACAGCGCCCCCTGCCGACCACGACCAGGTACTGCAGGTCCTACAGCTTCAGCGGCCCGACAGCGCCCCCTGCAGACCGCAATTAGGACCGTGTTAAAGGACAGAGGAGTATTCTTTTAGACTTGTTGTTGTGGTTGTTGTTGCTGGTGTTGTTTTGTTTTGTGTTACTTTTTTTTTTTCTTTTGTGCCAACATTCATATATTTCTTAATAAAGGGTTGTTATTTCTCCTGTTTTTCCACATTTTCCTCGAGTAAAGCCCCTTAATTTAACATTACGATTGCAGAGAGAGAGGAGTTTGGTCTACCTCACAACTCATCCTCTTTGGCAAGCAGTCCAGTCTCTTCAGACTGAAACATTTTTGGCGCCCAACGTGGGGCCTGGAAAGAGGAAAGGTGGAAAAAGAATAACTACCCTTTGTGTGAGTTACGCGCTCGTGTGATTGACACGCGTTTTTGAACTTGTAGGCACCATGATGTTAGGGGTTGTTGCTTTCCTCTGGCATATAACCATGCCAAGATACCTGTCCCACCTGTCAACGTGTTTCAGTTCGGATACTAGTACTTACATTGCAATAAGTACCTTTGAGATTGTGCATTTGGTATATGACACGGCAAACTCAGCACCTGTGGTTTTCATCCGGAACATATCCTCAAGGATGCGCTACTGCTCTAGCCTAAGCTGCTTTCTCTGGGGTTTTGAGGATAATAGTACCCATTCTTATGGGGACACACAGGGGAATGCACGCGCCCAACCCTTTATTCAGTTCCCTTTTGGATACAATACAATGGCCTCTGGGAAGTTTAAATCATTTTTAGATATCCGAGACATTTCAATGGTTGGGCTTTTCATCCTAAATTGTGCCACTATAGCATACCTGATATACCAAGCCAAGGCCAAGAGTTACCAAGAAGGCGTTCAGGAGCCTGACCCAGGGGTGGAAAACCTCGAGTGGCATGGGTTATGGGAGGACATGGGTAAATTCCTAGAAAGTTGCTCAGCTCCCATGACATGGAAGCTTACCCTTGAACAACTCCTGAACCCAATAAAAATAATGAAAGCTGTGAGGGAGAGGTGTCGTGATGGATCCATGGAGAAGCAGGTGGTAGCTGCATGTGGGGCCTTGGCCATTGCCTACAGGAAGTTGCTTGGTATGGTGCAGCATTCCCAGGGGAAAGGAAAAGATAAGGACAAGACGCCTAATACCAAGGTGACTCAGGATAAGGCAGAAACTAAGGGGCAGACTAAACCAACGGAGGTTGCCACTATCCACAGGAAGAAATGTAAAGCCAAATCAGTTTGCCCAGTTGACGATGATGGAGAGGCAGGGTCCTCACGAGCGGCTGCTCCAGAGCCAGAAATCATCACTGAGTCTTTATCGTATAATAACCTCCGGAATTTACGGGCAGACGTTGCTCGTCGTCCGAGTGAGCCCGTTCTGGCCTGGATGATCTGAGTTTGGGACAGGTGATGCAGTAAACCTTGATGGCGGTGAAGCGAGGTTCCTGAGATCCATTGCCCAAGATGTGGGTATTGAGGAGGTGTTTGTGAGGGAATCGAAACCCCTGTCTCTCTGGGCACGGCTCGTGGATGGTGTGAGAGAGAGGTTCATTTACAGAGATTCCTTGCAGGCAGATCATTACACCAAGAGCTGGAAGACCATCGAAGAAGGAATCCTACGGCTGAGAGAAATGGCATTGCTAGAAGCACTGTTTGGGGGGATGGGCAACCTACCAACGATCCTGACAAGGTTAAGTGTACACCACAGATGTGGTGGAGCTTTACACGTATGGGGCCATCTATACATAAAGGTTACCTGATATCATTAGAGGCTGGGGAGAAGCGGGAGCCAGTGATGTCTGTAATAAATAAACTTCGGTTGTACGACAGTATGATCGAAGGACCGATACAGGCCCGCATCTCCTCTGTAGAGACAATAGTTAATGAACTCAAGGAATTAACTACAGGGTTGAAAGAGAGGATTGAGAGAACATATCTCCATACGGCCCAAGTGAGAACCAGACGCCCCCCAGCTAGAGAGAGGAGACAGACTTCACGAACTGAGTTGTGGTACTTCCTAAGTGACCATGGAGAAGACATGAGCCGGTGGGACAGGAAACCTACTCGGGCCCTAGCAGCCCGAGTACAAGAGTTGAAAGAGAAAGAAAAGGGGAAGTCTGCGAAAGTGAGTGCCGTACCAGTATCCTGCAGGCAGGGATCTGACTCGGTAGAGGGCACCTCCCGTCGACATTCGCAAGAGGGAAACGATGACTGGCAGGATGAAGACGAATGCTAGGGGGGCCCTGCCTCTAGCCAGGTAGAGGCACGGGACAACCGTGTCTATTGGACTGTGTGGATCAGATGGCCTGGCATGTCAGACCCACAGAAATATCAGGCTTTGGTTGATACTGGCGCTCAGTGTACGTTAATGCCCTCGGGACATGTGGGACCAGAGACTATTTCCATTTCGGGGGTGACTGGAGGATCTCAAGAGTTGACCATAGTGGAAGCTGAAGTGAGCTTGACCGGGAAAGACTGGCAGAAACACCCCATTGTGACTGGTCCAGATGTCCCATGTATCCTGGGCATTGACTATCTCAAGAACGGGTACTTCAAGGACCCCAAGGGACATAGATGGGCTTTTGGAATAGCTGCTGTGGAGACCGAGGCGGCTAAACAGTTGAACTCGCTGCCCGGCCTCTCAGAGAGCCCTTCGGCTGTAGGGTTGCTGAAAGTCGAGGAACAGCAAGTGCCAACCGCCACTACAATAGTGCATCGCCGGCAGTACCGGACGAACCGAGACTCTGTGATCCCCATCCATAAGATGATCCGTGAGCTGGAGAGCCAAGGGGTGATCAGCAAGACCCATTCACCTTTCAACAGTCCCATCTGGCCTGTGCGTAAGTCTAACGGAGAATGGAGACTGACTGTGGACTACCGTGGCCTGAATGAAGTCACCCCACCGCTGAGCGCTGCTGTTCCAGACATGTTGGAACTCCAGTATGAGCTGGAGTCCAAGACAGCGAAGTGGTATGCCACTATTGACATCGCAAACGCATTCTTCTCCATTCCCTTAGCAGCAGAGTGTAGGCCGCAGTTCGCTTTCACCTGGAGGGGCGTGCAGTACACTTGGAACCGACTGCCCCAGGGGTGGAAACACAGCCCCACCATCTGCCATGGACTGATCCAGGCCACATTAGAGAAGGGTGAGGCTCCAGAACACTTGCAATCACATTGATCCACAACACCTGCAATACATTTTGACCTCAATCATATGGGGGGGACACAGCAGAGGAGGTTTCCAAGAAAGGGAAGAAAATCATCCAGATCCTCCTGGGAGCTGGTTTCGCCATAAAGAAGAGTAAAGTTAAGGGACCTACCCGAGAAATCCAGTTCCTGGGGGTGAAATGGCAAGATGGGCGTCGTCAGATCCCGACAGAA